AGTTTAAATATATTCTTAATGTTTTCAGTAATATGTGTAGTGTAAATATATTTTTAAACAACCAAAATATTACAATTATATTTAACGTTTTTTTTTATTTTATTTAATATTGTTTCTCATCTATATAATTGATCTTGCTGAGAATCTTACATCTAAAGTGGCTCTATTTGTTGACTTCACAACTATGTTACCCAGATTCATAAAACGTGGTTTAGTTTTTGCTTGCAGGGAAAAAATAAAAATAGTAGCCGTGTAAAATGGTTATAGCGATACAAAACAGAAGCGGTTGTCTGTTTTTAATGTTAGTGATTTTATTTATATCCAATGTTTTTTTTATCAAAAATGGTGATTTAAGTTTACAATTTTACCATCTCAGAAAAATATTGATTTAAAAAATTGAAACTTTTTTCTAGTAAAATTGTTTGTAAACATTGAAAGTTATATTATATCTTTAAAAAAAAGTACAATACTTGCTGTGTACAGTGGGTTAAAAGTGACAAATTCTAGCCAAAACCCCTAAAACAAAAATTTTATTAATTTTTTTTTATAAGAAACAGTTTATTACTTTGTAAAACACAATCTGCGGAAAAAATAACATTTGTTTTGATAAAACAAATTAAATTTTATTACATAATTACACAAGTTATTTAAAAACTCCAGTTTTTTCCATTTATAAACAATTCCGTTAAACCACCTGAAAAATTAAAAACAAGAATATTATTTAGTTTTATATTTTAAGTAGGGTATTCTGTTCTTGACTCATGCAATAGTTCAATGACACTAGACGGTAAACTTTTTTTTTGTTATGCATCTTCTTTCTAAATTTGCAAATTAAAGGATTTTATGCACATTAAAGAAGCAGTTTCCCAACAGAATGTTTAAAATTTTGATCAGATGTCATAATCACATGACATTTTGACTTGAATAACATGAAACCTTTTCATAAGATTTGCATTTATGTTCATTATATTAGCTGAGACATCGCTTTTTTGCTGAAAAAATTGTCTTGCTGTTTTACCATCATTTGATGTACCTGCCCCACCTACTTTTGGTTAGTCTATGACAAGATCCTTTTTCGAAATTCGGTTTGAACTTGAACTTTTCTAAATTAAACAATACATTTTTCTTCTTCAGTCCTAGCCTGCGACTTCATAATTGGCATTTTGTAAGAGACATCCCGGTGGGAAATGAGTTAGCGACTAGCGAGCGACTAGCTAGCTTTGTAGCGATTTTTTTTCTTCTTATTTTATTCTTTACTAATGTTTCTAACATCTTTAAAAATTCGATTTTTAGTGTTGATTCTATTATAATTATGAGAATAATTGAACTTAGCGATTGTGTAGCAATGTGTCGCTAGCTACATATCGTAGCTTTGTAGCTAGCTACAAAATATCTACAAACCTAAAGCTGGTTGATAGCTACATACCAAAATTTTATTGATAGCGATTTTATTACGATATGACAGTAGCTACATTAGCCTGTGAGTCTTTAGCTTATTAAGCTAGCTGTCCTCGTAGCCAAATCGCTGTCTTTATCTTTACAAATATCGATAGCTTTTCGCTAACTTAAAAAAGCTAGCAATCCTCGTGGCCAAATCGCTGTCTTTATCGTAACAATTATAGCTAGCTATTCGCTAGCCGATTTCCCACCGGGATGGAGCATACATTCTGAAAACCTTATCCAAGCATGCAAAGTTGAAACACCATGTCTGATATTGCCTTCTAAAGTTTTTTTTGAACTGTTAAAGGTTGATTGTTTATTTTGATTGGAGATGCACCGCACACAGAACAGTATTGGTAAGAGTTGGTAACTGTGGAAATAATACTTTGAATTATTCCATCTATTATTGTTAAATTGACAATATATTGTACTACAACTTCCTTAAGATACTTTGGATAATGTTATACTTTTAATAGAAGCCATAATTGAATAATATTCTGCAAGAACTACTTCTTTTGATTCTTTTATTTAAATATTTAAATCTGAGAGGCCTAGTAACTAGTTGACGATAGTAACAGTAACTAATTGACGATGGTTTCGGATTTCTCCAAACAACCTGTTTTTTCTCATCATTAAAACAATATAGTTCTAAAGGAACGAAGCAAGTTATGAAAAGCGATTTGTCAGTATTAAGTTCACTCGTATCATCTGACTGTTGTTTATAAACAGATTGCTCTGTTGTACCATCAAAGCCAATTTTGTATATTAGAATTAGTCTAGTACAATCTTTAAGCACAGACTAATGTACAGACAAAAATACTATAAGCTGAACATAATCTTGATGCAGTATGAAAAAGAAGAACTTGTAATGGTACCTCTGCAGAGTAGTCACTGACCTGAATGTTTTCAGGGTAGTATTTTTAGCTTATTTTACTATACGATATAATGGGTATAGAGACATTATTTCTTTATTGCTGATAAGTTTCTTAAAATAAACTAGCATCTAAGACTAACGTTAAGGACTTTTCTGACGTAAGTGATCCTGTCGATAATTCTTTGTTGCATATTTTTTTAACAACTTTTGCTTCTATAAATCTTTTACCTTTTTTCAAATTTTTACTTGCTGCATATAAAAGTTCGTTAGAATTGTATTTATGCTCGGAAACTATGCGATCTTTTGTTCACATAGACACACCTTCAAACAAAACTAAAGGGCGTCCACCTTGAATTATAGCAATAATTTAATTATAGTAATAACGATAGAAATAAATTGTATAATTTATAAATTTGATTCATAGTCAAAGCAAACATACCACAGGTTTTCGTTTCAAGTTTTTGTTTTTTCCAGTCAAATATAAATTCGTATAACCAATTTTTTTTTTTTCTTTTTTCAAATACTGCACTCGTTCTATTTGATTTTTCCCGCTTTTTTTTGGCTTGATAAATCAATTTCGAAATAATTGATAAACTATTATTAGATTCTTCAAAATTGCTTTCGGAAACAAAACTTAAAATTTATGCATGTATATCATCTTTTTCCAGCAAATTATTTTCCATTATATAGTTCATAAGACATCTTCTATACAATTTTAAAATAATAAATAATATTGGTAATGTCTCAAAATGTACAAGGTACAAGTTCTTAATTTCGTATTTTATTTAGTTTTTATAACATTAAAATGATAGCATAAAAAATAACAAATAATAGGCCGGGTGAATAAAAATGAGCAATTGCTTTTACTCATTAATTGGTCAGCTTTACGTGAAAAAAAACTTAACAAATTTTCCTTAAGTTTTTATTTACGTAAAGCTGAGCATTTACTAAGTAAATTGCTTAACTTTACGTGATTAAATATTTGTATTATCTTCGTAAATACTGACAAAAAGCAATTGCTTATTTTTACTCACCCGGCCTAGTGATTTCAATACGATCTAAATGTTTATCGAGCGAATACTATGCAGTAACTAGAAATCAAAAATTATTATGAAGTCAAATTGCAGTTTTTTTCCTTCAATTCTTCTTAAATTTATTATTATCAATAAAAAACGCAACAACGACGTAGTTATTTGAATTTAAAAGTTTATTCGTTTAGGCAACTATAGGCAGGCAGTTTTTGAACCACGAGATCAACGAGCTTAATGATATATAACTTTAGGCGGTTGATACTGGTTGATCCGGTGGTTTAAATAATAAGTTTGAAGGTTTTTTTTTATTTTTTCACTCAAAATTTCTGATAAAATTTCAATTTTCTAATAAAATATAATTTCTGGCTTAATAATATGTCGAACGATTCTTACCACTTTTTAAATTTCAAAATTTCTTTGTACGGTTTTGCCGCACTTTGACCCACTGTGCTGTGGCTCAAGGAAAGCGGGCAGTCATTGTCTAGAACATTAAAAGAGTTGCGCCAAAGAATTCAGAAGTTTTCTTTGTATCCGTATGTTAGTACGGATTTAAATTGTACGTTAAAATTCCGTATAAAACCATCAGATATACTTTCAGTAACATTAAAATGGTCTTCATAAAAAACCTTGTATTTGCTTGTAAACGACGAAACTTTCATAAATTATTCTAATATAAAAACAGGGGAATTGTGACCACCAAGAAAAAGCGGTAAGAATGCTAAAAAGCATTAAAATTGTTTAAGTGTAATAACTCGAGTATATAGTCTGCTAATATGTTAATTGAAAGTATAACTCCTAAACAAGGATATTGCAATAGTCCAATAAATTCAAGTAGATTTAGCTGTCATATACTAGCTTTTTTATTTAATTTACCTAACAGTAACAATGATGCACTTTCTTTTAGATTACTCCAATGAAATGCAAGATATTTATTCAATCTTTTTTTTGAACAAAAGCCTAAAGATTTGCTTTTGTTTACTGCAAAGTTTTAAAACAAATTTTTTTTCTTTCTTAGAAAAATTTTCTTACTTTCTCTCCATCTCTATAAATCTTTTATTCGTCCTTCTATGGAAAATTGTTATAATTGGGCTGGTTCTTCTAACGAGAACCTTTCTTTTCGAGGCAAGATCTAAAAACGCATTGTAGATGTTGTTGTTATACCTGCTATATAATCCGTATATTCCGTAAATTGCATCACGCATTTTGCCTTCCCCCTCTCTTTCGTTACAACATCGGAACTCTTTAGTAATAAGTCCCGTAAAAGTCGTCACAAAACCACAGACCCCTCCCCGAAGAGTGTGGCATAATTTATGTACAAACCCTAACTAGCAAACTTTACTGGTCGCTCCTTAAACGAACTATCTTTAGTTCCATAAACCAAAATCATTCTCGAAAGACTTGTCAATTAGCAAAGTTTTTTACTGTATCTGTCCCCTTCATGCTCCAAAAACTTTCATTCGTCTAGTTTTTTCTTTGCATATCAATGCATTGGAACTCTCTCCAATTTTTTTGTTTTCCTGACTCATAGTTTACAGTTTTTTAAGTCTTCTGTCAACCTGTTTACTTTGCTCTTTAAGAATATTCTTTGTTTTCTAGTAACTGCCAACATAAATAGTGGTTCTTTGCAGCCTTTTTGGGAATAAATTAGTTGAAAATATATGTATATATAGTTTAGATATTATTTACACATTTATTTAATTATTCTTTTGATCGATTCAAACTGTTTCGAATAAATTCTAAACATAAATATATATTTTAAGCAAGTATCGATAACATTTGATGAAATTAAAAATAATTTATTGGGTTGCTTTGGCTTTTTTATTTTTCTTTGACTTCTTGTCTCTCTTCTTCATATTGTCTATATTTTGTCGTAGCACAGCAGCATAGGCCTGAAATTTAAAAAGAAATAAAGATAAACAACGCTACAATAAAACCGCAGAAAAGAACTACAATAAAAGTACGATAACGCGAGAAAGTTAAACAATTTTATCTAGATACTTATATACCAGGGTACTGACATTTTTTAATTAACAAAGAAACTGCAATAAGACACTAACAGTTTATTAGCGGCGAAGCATTACAACGAAAATCATTTGATAAAGCTTTGAACTCAAGAACCTTGGATTTAATATCCAGCATTATGACCATTGAGCTTTGACTTAAGGTGGAAAACCCCTCAGAAATATAAAATTTTTGAAAAAAAATAATTTTCTTGTTTTGTGCAAAATTTATCAGACTTTCACAATCTTAAAACAATTTTTAGCTTCCTTAATAACCGTCATAGCAACGGCACTATTTTTTACCTTTATATAAAAAATAGTGACAAAATCATATTTTTTTCATAAGCCATTTTATGGTGAATTAAGTAGTGATATTCTTTCAAATAGATGTTTTTATACTTTACTCAAAATAACAATGAATTTTTTAGCATGACAATATAGAGAGTATACCTTCAATTTAGAGTATAACTTCAATTTGGCACTTTTAATGCCGTTGTTCATTTTAGCATTGGTAGATAAGCTAGTGTTTTAGTTTTATAAAAATGAATGTGAGACCTGGAAAGTATCAAGAAATTTTTTAGTAATCAAAAACGATTATACTTAGCCAGATATAAAAATACAGAACTCGCAAAGAAACGTAAATAAGTTTGTGGAAAAATGAAGAATGGATATGACAAATCCCTTGAATAAGAGGAAAAACCCATTTCAAACTGGTGCATAGTATAATTTAACTTTTTTATTATATGATGATTTGTATATTTATCTACACTATTTTGAAGTTTTTTTTATGTAAGCATTTTTAAAAGCTGTTTTTCTCGTATAAAGAGTTTTTAATACGCTGGCCAACATATCTAAATAACTAAAAGCGGTGTAAAGATAAAAATTTTAGTATGAAAATGATTTTTGTTGTCTTCAGTGATTTAAGCTTTTTGCTCATATCACAGAACAACCTTGCAAGAACAGATCTTGTTAAAATTACGTAAATCTTTAGATGCTTTTGCAAGGGTTTTTCAATAATTTGGTATTTTTGGCGCCTGCTGCAGGTGTCATTTTATTAAGAAAAAAATTTTTTTTTTTAGTTAATTTTGTTAATTACTTTATGTATATGAAGTTAAATTTATAAAATATTTAATTAATCATAAATTATTCACAAAAAAATTTTCAGGGGTTTTCCACCTTAAAAATACAATTTTATTTTTAGAATTAAACTATTTTTAGATTTTCTAGAAAACAAACACAATTTTGAAATTTAGTGTTTGAGCGCATACGCGTAATTTTGAAATTTAGCGTTTGAGAAAACGCTTAAATTTTAAAATTTCACGTTAGAGCATCCGTGTTAATTTAGGCAGTTAAGTTTGCGAGTAATCTTGAAAATGAAAACAACATATAGAATAGCTCAAAAACATCAAAATTAATCATCACAAAACATTTTGTAAACTTATACACAAAAGATTATTATTTTTTGTAAAGCATGATTAAATTGAAAATAATAGCCTTCTCTATTAAAAAAAGGGGAACAAGTCTTTGTTTCTTTGTAAACTAGCCTTGCCTGTCAAAAAAAAATATTGCCTTGTTATAACTAGGATAAAGAAATAACTTACCAATTGAAATTTGTTTACATCTTTATGCATTACCTAAATAACAAATATTTAAACATGAGTAGTTGAATAAAATGAAAGACGTAAAATAAATCTAAAAGGGGGCATTCATAAAGTATGTACGCTGTAAAACCACTGATTTGGGACCCTCCGCCCTTGTACGCACCTGTGTGCATTTAGTATCCCCCTCCTTTTGTCTACGTACACATTACTTGATACAAAATCAAACCCTCTTTATCTTCAACGTATAAAATTTTCAAAATATTAAAAACAAGAAAACTTCAAGTTAATGCGAAATATCTCTGTTACATAACATAATTTTGATTTTTTAAACTTGTGAAATGTGATGTTTTTGTTAAAAAATAGAAATCGTGTTTTAGGAGATTAAGAAGGAGATTTAGTCACACCACCTATGTACTCTCTGTCTTGACTCTCACTCCCCCCATACCTGCTTACGTATTTTATAGAAGACCCTAAATAACAAACTCAATAAAACAACAATTAAACGCTAAAAACCTCCTATAAGTCAAGGAACTTTTAAAGACTTAAAAGTAAAAAAAAATGGAACAAAAAAAACAGTGATAAAATTTTTATTAGGAAAAAGTAATAAACAAAAAAACTGTAAAATGTGTCTTCACACCATAGTACAAAATATTTTGAAAGAAAAAAATATTTTTTGTGTAATAATAAACTTTTATAATATCTTGTTAAAATTGTGAACATTAAAAAATATATATATATTTTTTTAATATTTTTTTATAATTCCACTTTATATATTTTCAATTTATATAGGAAAAAAAAGAAATCAGTAAAGAAGAGAACAATTTTTAAACTTTTTTTATACATCAATATTTTATTTAACTATATATTTTTTCTTCTGAATAGTTAAAACAATAATTAAGGAATGAAATTACATTATTTGTATAAATTTTAATTCAAAAATAAAATCAGTATTTTTATATTTTTTATCATGCATTAAAATATTCAAAGCTTTTGAATATTTTATTTATATTGAATATTATATTGAAAATTGTGTGCTTTGTGTGTGTAAACATTTTGTTTAAAATAAAATATTTTTACAAATCTTTATAAGCAACAAAATTTGAACGTTTACGAATAAACTGTATTAAAAATAAAAATAATTTAAAGCTAAATCAAGTCAACAAAAGTTAAAGCATTATTTGTCTAACAGATTCAAGTGTTATAATATAGATACTATATATATATATATAAATATATATATATATATATATATATATATATATATATATATATATATATATATATATATATATATATATATATATATATATATATATATATATATATATATATATATATTCTTAAGAATTAAAGTAGATAATCTTTTGGCTATTTTTTTTATGTTGTAGAAAATTTAAAAATAAGGACAGAGTGATACAATAAACTGTTGAGCTGTTTGCATTACCTATACAACCAGGTGGTCCTTATCTAATTATGGCTCTTGTCATAATTAGATGAGGACCACCTGGTGTCATATTTTTTTGTTAGATATTTGATGATTGTTGTACTGTCACTATGTTGGTTTTATCAATAAATTTTATTAAAAGTAAAATCTTTAATTTCATTCATAATTGTCAATTGATTAACTTTGTGCTGATTAAAACTTGTTGAGCGAAACAAACTTTTATTTTTAGGTTTTCAAATTGGAAGTTGTCTTGGATTTTCAGGAAAATCATTAACCACTCTATACCTGCTTGTTTATTTTTATCCATTTAACAGTATATTTGCTGATTTTTATAGCGAAATAAAAAAAATTTAATTTTCTTTTTGTTCAAATTTACCTCCCGAAGGCCAAGAAGGCCACTATAGTCAAGGAGGCTACATTAACTGTGATTACAACCCTCACTCTTTATCTATAACTCTGAAACACGTACCTTGACGAACAAGGCCACTTACATATGAAAAATGTTGCTGACATATAAACAAGCAACATTTCAACACAAGAAACAAGTTGAAATGTTGCTTGTTTATATGTCAAGTCATAATTATTTTTTGAGCTTTTTTATAAGGTAGTCTTTCAATACCCTTTCCTCAACCTTATAAAATACTTGTCAACCTTATAAAATACTTGTGAAACAGTATACTTTGTTGTGAACCCAAAAATTGGTCTTGTATAACAAATCTTTTGAAAATTTCTTTACTTAGTAATATAAAGTATTGCATTTTATATTATAAATAACAGCAACCTGATTCTGTTTCATAAAGCTATTTACAACTTGGAGAACAGAATTATTAATACCTTTCTTGTTGATGAATGTGTCTCTTTTTCTTATTTAAACTTTTTTTTTATTTTTTAACAATCAGAATTTAAGCCATAATGGTGTAAAAAATTAAAAAAATAAATAAAAAATGCACCATTCAAAATGTTTAAACTGCCCTAACAGACCTAACGGGTATATATGACACTTATAAATGATAAAAAATGATTTTTCTAAACAAAATGTCATTTTTTGACATTTTCTAATATTTGCTTTATTATAAATGTTCTGAAAATGTAACCTTCCCTCAACATAGCTAAGGTTTATGCATTATACATCATTAATTGACAGAATACAAATCGTCAGCTCAGAACTAAAAGGCTGTATGTCCACATTTTGTTTATCAATAAATATTCAACAACCAATGGAGTATGTAAAATAAAAAATAAATAATAAAATCTAAAATAAAAATAAAAAATAATAAAAAATAATAAATAATAAAATCCATAAAATCTATTCTCAAGAATGATACAACTTTTAAAAATATTTAAAAAACTAGTCAAACATTCTGGCAGTAAGTTTTACATATTAAATTTTAAAACTTGATTTTCTCGGAAACACAAAAAATGGGTATAAAACCTCTTGGTTCTCGGCTGACAAAATAACACCATTAATTGACCAAGCATAGCTAAAAACCAGGGCTGTGAAGTCAGAGTCACTACGCGACTTCAGTTACGTAGTTATTTGATGATTGAGCATATTATTGAACTAAAACTTTTTCTTACTGACATGGTTAACGCAGCTTGAAATATAATTTGAAATACAAAATTTGTATTTCAAGTTATATTTTGCAGCTTGATATAATTTGAAAAATCAAAATTTGATCAACACTTATTTTAAAATCATTATTTTGTTTTAATATCCATAACCATAAATTCAGATCTTTCCGGAAAATTAAAAATTTTCTTACAATATTTTTACAATTTTACCAGTAAATTGACATCAACGATCAGCACACCTAATTTAATCAGCTTAAATTTGCTATTTAAATGTTTATCAAGTGTATACTTACAATTGTACTGTACTTCTTTTTGCCATTTGTTGCTCTGAATAAACATCTTGGTTCACCGTTTGCATGAGGATTTGGATCTGTAGATTTGAGATCACGCGGCTTGGGTTTAATTTCACCATGATCTATAAAGCATAAGAAAAATCATAACAAGGAATAATAAAAAGTGAATGAGCATGAATATTTCACAGCAAACTTCTTTCATCTTTATCAGCAAATAATATAAAACAAGACAACTTGATGATTTTTTTAATTTAATATTACAAACAGTTTCAGTTTATGAACAACATTGGAACAAACACTTACATTGTTTTAAAGTAACTAAAACACTCCCTTGGATTTTAGTTTTTGAATAGAGATTGGCCAGTTGGAGGAGAAACTAAAACAAAAAAAGATTTTTCTAGAGGTTTCTTAAAAATATATATATTTTTTTATATAAATGTAAAAAAAAAAAATTTTTTTTACTTTATTGTTTGCTTTTTTTAATTTGAAACACTAAAAAAATTTTACTGTTATTTTAAGCATCTTCATCAAAAGTTTTTTAAAGTGAATCTTCAACAAAATGTTCAACTAAGTTTTAAAGATTAAAAAAAAAAAAAAGTATATAAGTATGGTTGCTATCCTCTGTTTCACAAATAAAGTTTACCAGGGTTTAACAGTTTAACAGGGAAATTAAATACCAAATGAAGCAAATGAACACTACAACTCAACTCGGACATTCAACATGCAAATTATGCTATTATGCTTTTAAATGGTTTAATTTAATTTTTAATTACAAATTTTTCTTGTAACCATGTTCTATTTTCTATCTATTTATCAATTATAAAAATTGTTTTACTTAACAATCATTTATTTAGTGTAAAATACTTTTTTGAGAGGTTTTTGTGACCAAACCCAAGATATATCTTGTTGTTTTCCATGATTAATTATTTAGATGCTACAGGATTATAGAATAATATGCTAATAGAAGCAAAACGGAAATTATATAATGGGGTCGTGCGCCCGCCGCCCCCTCCTCACCCCCGCACCCCTCCCTAGGCTTAGAAACAATATGGCCACAAATGATTTACAAAAGATTGTTTAATGAAATTTAAAATTTTCATACTTTATGAACATTATGGCAAAAGGAAAAACTGTTGATTGTGCTTAAAGAATAAGACATAGTGATTTTTTCTTCTGTTTATGTTGAATGTTGCATAATAGCATAATTTGCATGTTGCAAAATAGCATAATTTGCATGTTATTCTGTAATCCTGTAGTATCTAGATAATTAATCATGGAAAACAACAAGATATATCTTGGGTTTGGTCACAAAAACCTCTCAAAAAAGTTTTTTACATTAAATAAATGATTGTTAAGTAAAACAATTTTTATAATTGATAAATAGATAGAAAATAGAACATGGTTACAAGACAAACTTGTAATTAAAAATTAAATTAAACCATTTAAGACACCGTTAATTATTAAGTTCAAGTTTGTTCACAAACACTTTGTAATCAAAGTTAGTAATAAAAAAAAACTTTAATTACTAAGGTTCTTGGTATTTATGAATATTATTTACAGTAAGACTGCTAAGATATAGTATTAAAAAAATTTATGTAAAAGAGCAGCAAATTGTGCTAAAAAACATAATGCAAGAGAGAGAGAGCAACAAATTGTACTTTAAAAACTTGATGTATGAGAGAGAGAGCAACAAATTATGCTAAAAAACTTAATGCAAAGGAGCAAAAAAATTTTAAATTAAAAAAAAATTACTAATACAGGCTTGGTCGGAAAGCGGGTGCGATCGCACTCAATATTTGACCACGGAAATTATATTTAGTTGCGAAAAGCCGGCCAGATTTTTTAGGCGTTTTGAGAACATTTCAAAAACAAGCAAAAAAGCGCAATAAGATAAACTGGACCGATGAGAGACAGTTAAAAAAAAGAAAAATAGCTTTTAACGCAAAACTTTAAGCAAAATAAATACGATTGAGTTTCAAAATATTTTTGAAACGTCGCTTTTTTATAATTTTTTTTTTAAAAAAAAGCGACATTTTTTGTATATAGTAACAACGTACTAATAATGATTGTTTAATAAAGAAACAAATGTTTCAATTTATCAAAGATTATATATAAGTTTTATTTATATACTTATGTCTTATTTCCAGTGCTGGAAATAAGAGGTGGGGGGGGGGGGAATCGAAGAGCTATACTCCCGGGACACACAATGTTATGGGCCGAGAAATAGTCAAGAGGACCTATCGGTTTTTTAAGTCATTTTTACGCTGTCGCACATATAAAAGGCCACCAAAATAATCCAAACCCCGGCCCTGTAAAGTCCAACAAGATTTAACCAATAAAACTAACGCTACATAATTTAATTATAAATAAAAAAAGTTTTTTCAGCCTGTTTTATGCTTCGTGTAGTTTGAAAAGTTTAACATATTTGAAACAATTCTTCTTAGTAAGATGAACAAATGAAATAACTAAATCATTGAGTTACTGTGGAAATTTAATTAGCTAGATAGAAATCAACTAAAAACGTTAAATTACTTTGTAAGGAGGAAGCGGAACTGCTTAACAATATCGCTGATGATGTTTAGTGAGTGGGCTTTATATCTTTAACTAGTATTTTACAGAAAAAAAAACTTTAAGTGTAAGTATAACGAGTTTGTAAGAATGGCTGAAGCAAAAATAATTGAAGTTAATAAACCAATTTCTAATACATTACATGCATATAAATACATCCCTTATATATAAAAAATAAGATTATACTAATTAAATCTATAATATATTTACAAAACGTTGACAAGTTAAAAAATATAAATTTAAAACATTTATTTTTGTAAACAAATGTTAGTTTAAAACATTTATAGCTTTATGGATGTGACTCCGAGAATGAGCCATTGTATTAAATAATTGTTCGTTTGATAGTATATTCTTAAAACAATTGATGCTATAATTCTCAACGAAAAAATAACAAAAACAAAAACAAAAAAAAAAGATTTTGAAAAATAATTCAACAGAATACTCTAGAACAGTCGCGTAGTAATTTCAGTTATTTATTAATTGAACTAATAGAATTAGTTGTTCGTAAATTTGGCGGGTTTTTTGTGTTTGCGAATATTCTTTATTTATTTTTCCGCACTAAGACGTTTGACAACATTCAAGTTTATATAAGTTTCCATGTACGTCCGTAACAAAATAATCTTATAAATTTACGATAAAATGAACTTATTATTTTGCGGACAAACAAGGAAACATACATAAACTGAAATGTTCTCAAAACGCCTGAAAAATCTGGCCGGCTTTTCGCAAGTAAATATAATTTCCGTGGTCAATTATCGAGTGCGATCGCACCCGCTTCCCGACCAAGCCTGCTAATACCAAGTAAAAATTTAAAAGTTTTTAACTAAAATTTGAATAACAACTTTTAATTGTTTGCTTATTGCAAATATATTTTTTATATACACTTTAAATTTATATACTTCATCTATATTATATATAATAATGTTTTAAATTTAGTTAAATTACAAAATGTTTTTAACTTTTATTAAATATACTTTAATTCTGAATCTACTTGGGCTTGTCTATTGTATGATGTTTTTCGTGATACTGACAGCCAGGCAATATATACCATTTCAACATGCAACAAGGGCATACCGAAGTATAAAATACTTCGGTAATTTAATATTGGACAAATTAGAATAACAACAACATGTTTTTGTTGATGAACAAAAACGTACTTTATGAACTTATTAAAGTTAACAAACTAAAGAAAAGTTTTCATTTTTTTCATCATACTACTAGTTTTGAGTTTCTGTGTGAGGTAAGATTTCATTAAAATAAATGAAACCATTAATGCAATTTATAAATGATACTATCAAAACAATACTAACATTTATCATGAAAATAAATAAAAAATCAATACAAATTAATATATAATTTTGATTTAATTGCAAAAACAGTCATTTAATTACTAACCAAATGTGAGATTTAAAAAAAAAATGAAAAAATTTGAATCTCAATTTAAAGACAAATGCATGAAAAAATTATTTTTTTGAAAAATAGAGCAATTTTAAAATATTCATTAAGAGTAATGTTAACTTTGTTAAGCTTGTTGGCAATTAAGAGTCAACTATTTTTAACAATAAATAAACATAAGTAAATACTTCAGTCTCAAAAATAATACAGTAATCGTGCAAATTTAATTTTTGAATAAATGAACATTTGATCTATAGCTCACTATTTTATTTTACTTTAGGAAGAAAAAAATGAAACAAAAACTTTTTCAGAAAGTTTTGTTTTTCTTTATATTTATATTCTCTGTATATTTATTATTTCTTTATTTTTAGCAGTGAAGACATTTTTTTAATAAAAAACATTTTTTTGTTGATTTTAAATAGTTTTAATAAATGGGCTTGTGTCTTTTAAATGACAGGTTCATATATTTTAATTGTTAAGTTTACCACAATTATCTACTTATTTGTAGTTATAACCCTCTCTCAACTATATAATTCCGAAACACGAACCTTGACAAACAAGGCCACTGTACGGAGAAACAAGTTAAGCTACTACCAGGGACGTGGTGGGGATCAAACTCAGAACCTCTCGCGAGCACTCTACCACTACACCACAACCGCAATTACTATTCGACTAAAAGACGTAAACCTTGTATAAGTGTAAATACCTTTAATTTTTCAAAAACTGTGCTATTTGTAAATATTATTTAAAAATTGTACAAAAAAAAAAAAAAAATAGTACCCCTAAATACACTTAGAGTTCATCACTGTGTGTGTATATATATATATATAATTCCCTTAGGACTGATTGTCCTAAGGGAATTGTTCGTGTTACAAGTGTTAATGATTATCTCCTAAAAGCCTAAAAACAGGATTTTAAAAAATTTAAAACAAATGGCGGAAGTGTTTGTCATTATTAAATTTTGTTTTGTTTACAAAACCATTTAGTTTATCAAAAGAATTTACTTTTTAATTAGTAGCCCTAAAAATATTAAACTGATAGAAAAAGTGGCTAAGGCTAATGAGGAGCCTTTTGGTATGACTTTAGGTTAATTAGTGGAACAGAGGCAACTGCATAGCTCATTGCTTAATGGTGTCATGCACACTGAATCTTATCTTTCAAAGTTCACAATTAGCTATTTCATCTTCAGGTCTCAGTGTTGATGGCTATTATCTTTTGATTTGCAAAGACTCCATAGTCACATGTTTGTCACTTTTTACCTTAAAGTTCTATTGTCTAATAGAAATATATAATTAGAAGGTGCACATGGGGTCAAACAATGGACGTTTCTCAAAAATTAATGATACCAAAATAAATTTAAGTTAGTTGTTATTGAAAGCTAAATATAGTTCCAGTTTAAGTTCATTAAAAAAAATATTTCAATTGCGTATATAGTGGCTTTATATAAGAATAAATGCCACTATATATGCAGTGCTAATGTAATGATTGTAAGTAGAAACAATCTTAGACTGCAAGTTTCAGAAATAATCATATTTGAACAACAAATTTGATAACTTATATAAACTGTCTACCAAGCAATTTGATGATTTAGATGACATATTGTCAAGTAGAGTTGTTCTGTGAAAACTCTGCTATTAATGATATAACACTGAGTATTATATTTCTGATGTACGATAAAAGAAATAAAAATAAAATAAGAAAATGAGAAGACCAATAAACAAAACCGGAACTTAGTCAAAAGCCAAATTCAACATTTGTTTTGGAAGCATTTGATTTAGTAATTGATTTTTTTGTTTTAAAACTTTTTTTAATTTAAAATTTTATTTTTTTATTTTTTTGAGATTATAAGGCACGGCCGTTTCACAGTGAGCTTTACAGCTTCTTGTTTTTTTTTTGAAATTTTTTACTTACATTTATAACTTTTGAAATATTAGAGATATTTATTTGAGATAATTTTGTTTTGTAAAAGGAATAAAAACAACTATAAAATGTTTTATCATACACCATTTAATACAATAGTAAAAAAACTTCTTTTAGTTTATAAAAAGCGCAACAAATGATGAACTTGGTTAAATTTTAGTAATTCGTTGTTACTTTTTATAAAAAAAAATCAGAAAAATATATTTCTGATAGTTATTATCAAATACACTCATTGTTTAACTATTATTAAAATAAAAAAATCTTACTTAATTGTTAAAGGTAAACTGATACAGTCTTAATTAAAGTCTGCAAGTAAACCGCATTTTTTTGAAAACTATGTTGTTAAAGGGGAGATTAGCTGTTAAATGAGCACGTTTTAAAATCTAGAAGTTCTTGTTTTAGAAAATAATTCACTAAGTTTATAAATTCAATGCATTATAAAATAAAACCAGATTTCAAGTTTGAAATATTTAGTCTTAACATTTTAAGCTAAAGCCTTTAAAAAACTTGAGCAATTCTTTTCTATGCATACAATTTAATAATATGGTGTTAGGTTGTTGATAAATAAAGACTCTAATAAAATAATTCATGACCAAAACTGAGTTAAAGTTTTTGAATTAACCTCGCTTTTGGTAATAGAATTATTTTATGGCACTTGAATCAATCTTTTTTCACAAAAAATTAACGTTTCTTTAAATATACAAATAGCTAATTTAAATTGTTTGATAATGTGTTTTTATTCTCATAAAAAACTTTGATTGATCCATTAATAAGTTGATCCATTAATAAGTTCTTTAAGTAGAAAACGATTTTATACTTCAAAATTTGTCTTGCTAAGAAAGTTGTTTTAATAAAATTTATTACATATTTGCTTGGGACGTACAAAATTTAAGGTCACGTGATTGCTTTGAAATGTAAACAACGTTTTGCGCATTAAACTAGAAAAAATTGTTTCTAAACTAGCCAAGTTTGAAAACATATTTCATAACATAGCTAAAGGTGCAGCAAACAATTTTTTAATTTTTATATGTAGAAAGGGTTGAAATTTCAATAATTTGGTGCGGATTACAAAAATAATACGATTTTTACAATTTAATTATAAAATTAAAAATATAAATGCATTAAAAAATAGTTAAAAAATAAAAAATCAGCAATCCGCACAAAAAATTAGATAGAATAGACATTTATTTATAATTGTTCCAAATTTCAACCATGAGGCATGTAGCTACGTTATGAAATCTTAGTTGACCCAAGACAGGTTTTTCGTAAAAACCACAAAAAAAAACAGAAAAGTGATCCCAAATCGTTAGCAATATTTAAACATTAATATTTTTATTCCGTTTAATGTAAATATTTATTTAAAAAAAAAAGATAGGTCTTTTATATTTTTTTAATTTGAAGATGAAAGCCCTTACAGGAAAAAAAATATTATTATTTTAAAATTAGTGCATTTTTAAACTTTTTTTGCGGAAATATATATTTTTTTTCGATAAACACAAAAATAACTGTGACGTCAAGCTCGCTTTTATATTGAGTGAAACAGCCGTAAAGGGGTTAGGGAAGTGGGGGGTGAGGGAGGAGATGCACTCTCATAAGTTGATTTACATCACCACTACATGTAAATTCTTATTTATTTGTTGTCTTGAATAAAGTTTTGGTATTATTGTATAAAAAAAGTTTGTAAAAAAACAAATTTTTATTTAAAAAAATTCCATTTTCCAGGTTAAAGTGGTGGTTCTGCACCTCCTCTATTCCCCAAGATATGTTCAGTGGTGAGAAATCAATATAAATTTCTAGCCGAATGTTACACCTATCTTTTGATACCAAGTTTTATGTATTCAGATAAAAATTGAAGAAGTTATAACAATTTAGATATATAAGAACTAAATTTTGTCCAAAGCTTCTTCATACCATAATTTTATACCAACAATTGCCATTCAAATTTTTGTAACAATTTATTTACATAATCGTCAAAGTGGTCTAAAGTAAAATTATTTACTTCTTTTATCTTACTGTTTTTAGCTTTGATCTTATATTCATAAAAGTTAAAAAATGATAAAAAGTCACTTAACGAAATTTGGTTTAGACGTATGTAAAATAGGTTTACAGGTACATAAATTGACTAAGCTCTGTGCCTTTTCTTTTAATAAACTGTCAATCAAGTAATAAAATTAATCATTATATCAAAACTAAACAACAATAAAAATTTTAAAGTGAAGTAAGTTAGTTAATTAAGTAAATTATTCTTTTAACTAATGGTTGTCACTGTATTTTCAATACATAAATAAATGCAACTTATAAAACATAGCCTAAATAAGTATTTATATGCATGCAAGATAATTTTTTTTCAGTTAATTTTATTTTAATTTTAATTCTTTATGTTGTATTAAAACAGCAGCAATTTTTTTTATGCGGCTGAATATTTAGATTATTTTGATATTTCTATAAAAAGTTAGTCTTGTAAAAATTCAATCTTTATTATTTTTACTTTATCTGAATTTGATATATTTGTAAACAATGAGCATTTCTATTTATTTATAATTTAAACTTTTGTAACAATGGTGATCAATTTTTAAAACAATCACTACTTCACTAAAATGCTGTTAAAATAATTGTAACAACTTCCTTACTCTATAACTCCATTTTTTGTTTTTTAAAAGTCCTAACTTAATAGTGGTTGCTTATAGCCTTTTTTGTAGCATATATATATATATATATATATATATATATATATATATATATATATATATATATATATATATATATATATATATATATATATATATATATATATATATATATATATATATATATATATATATATATATATATATATATATATATATATATATATATATATATATATATATATATATATATATATATATATATATATATATATATATATATATATATATATATATATACTTTGATTATAAGAAAGTTTGGTTCAAATAAATGAATGAAAGCACAAATAAACAAAAAAATAATTGTTTTTTTTAATAATTATTTTAAAAAATATATGATTTGAAGTCATTATATTGTTTATTATTCATTTGTTTTTTAAAGAAGATAACATTTTACAACTTTATAAAAGATACTGATCAGAATGCACAATAAATACTTTTTCCAGTATTTTATCTTTTTTTCCCTTTAAAATAATTAACCTTTACTCACATAAATACTATAAGGATTAATACTTTCAGTGTTATGCAAATAAACATATTTAAAGAGATGAAGTGACAACAATAAACTTAATCTAAACTTCAATGATATTAATTGTCACTCACTATCATTACTTTCATAAGTCTAAAAATCAAGATGACAAGATGTTGTAATAATGATATATTTTACATCATATTATGACTTTATCGAATATCTTTTATGTTATTTTTTTCTTTTAAGGTAACTTTTATCTGAAAAAATTTAAAGAACTTTGAAGTTTTTAAATAATATTCTATTACTAAATTTTTTTATTAACAAAATATTTATTATGCAAGCATTTTATAAAAACCAAAAAAGTCGATAAAATTTTCATTCAACTAACCCCTTCATTCTCTAATAAAACCATGACTTTGAATTTGCTTCAATGATCATAATATTAAAATAGATTTGAGATTTGATCAGCTTATATATTTCTCATTCCATAAACAAAAACGTGTACTACTTTTAGGATTGACCGGATGTCTTTTTTTTCCGGCGCCGGAAGCCGGTAATTATTAATTTAAATTTTAAAAGAATTTACTTTCGTATTTTCTTAGTTAGAGGAAAATGAAACATAATGACTTTGAAGGCTTCAGCCCCCACTTTGAAAAGTTTGAAAAACTTTGGTATTAAAACCCCCCCCACTTTTTATGTCAGTACTAAAAGTCCAAATTTGCCGACTGTACTATATAGTTTACATTTGCCGGCTCGCTGGAATAATTTGCGGACTTAATGAACAAAAATTTATTAATAAGGCGGGGGGGGGAGAGGGAGAAGGAGGGAGGGTATCATACATCAATTGCGCCAGCCTTGGATTTACAGTGGCTTATAATGATACAAAAGGTTCTACCACTGCTCTCTTTTGCCGTGCGTTTAGAGCGGAAGAGCTTTACTTGATTTACTCGACATCAAAACCTACCAGTTAAGCTGAATACTTTTTTAACGAAAAGATAGTTTACTAGTCTTTTATGATTTTTAACCATGACTAAAATTCTGACCGAATCCTAATCCTTAGTCGATAGATTTTCATTTAATTTTTAATATTCCTATTGCCAGTCGATGTATTTATGCCAAATAGTACACAAAAAATTATCATGTAATTTATTTATATACTTAAATCAACAAAGTATTTGTTGATTTAAGTATATAAATTTTATATTTATTTAAAATGTTTTGGTATGCAAAAAAATGGGGTGTTTATAGGGGCTGTCCATTAATTACGTCAAAAAATTTTTGGAAATTTTTACCTCCCTCTTCACCTTGTCAACAATTTGTCAAATTTCCAAATACCTCCCTATAAAATTACGTCAACCTTTGATTACCCCCTTCCCTATAGAAAGAATTTACGCTACAAACTCAGCCAAATTTTTCGTTATTTAAGTAATAAAACTCAGAAAAAAAAAAGAAAAATTGTTGACGTCAACTTTAATTGACCTCCCCCCTCCCCCATGTCAAGAATTGTCAAAAAAGTTCAGACCCCTCCTCCTCCCTATTTTGTTGACGTATTTAATGGACAACCCCATATTTGAAAATTTAATTTAACTTTGTTTTATAACACATTATGTTTTATTTAACGGCTTTCTTTATAAAATATCCAAAAATTAAAATAGATACTGTAACAGTTTATATAACTTACAAAATTTAATTTACAAAAACAATTTATAAACACCAGGGCTGTGGAGTCGGAGTCGGAATCGCGGAGTTGCGACATTTTCAGTGGAGTCAAGTCGGAGTCGGAGTAGGAGTCGCTAAACAAACTTGCAACTCTGACTCCAATAGTAAAACTTCTCGGTATTGCACGTGCATGTACAAAACATTCAATTAACCTTATGTTCATACTAAACCTCAAAGAACGTATCATAAATTTGTCAAAAAAGAAATTTTTAACTTATCGCGTAATATTTTTTAAAAAATTCAAAGAATTTTTCAAAAATTTTGCTTTGGAGTTGGAGTCGGAGTTGAAGTCGGAGTCGGAGTTGGAGTCGGAGTCAGAGTCGGAGTTGTGCACAAAAAATTTCAACAACTGGAGTCGGAGTCGTTACTTTTTTTTTACGACTCTACACTCCTGATAAACACTTTCACATTTTTAATAATAAACTTCATTACTTCGATACAATAAACTTTTTGTCAAATAATGAAAAAAAAAAAAAAACAAGTTTATTAAAAAATAGAACTAAAGTAACAAAGTTTTTTCAATAAAAATATATTGCTTTAAATAAATAAGGAATGCTTTTAAAATCTAAAAACAGCAAACTTCAGGCATATTACAATTAACAATAATACAGTTGACAAATCTCAGCAAATAATGAAGACAAAAGTATCAACAAATAAATGTCAACCGAAAAAGGCAAACTTTATATGATGGTTCTTTGTTTAAAACGGCATTTGTTTGATTTTGGTATAAAAAGTTTTCAGTGGTTTTTAATAAAATAATGTAGGAAAGTTTATTGTGATGATACCATTCAATTTCAATAAAGCAATGTCGTAAAGCATGAAAGTATTGAATATGGAAAAACAAACAAACTTTATTTTTTTAATCTTTAAAAGGACTTTTTAATCCACCTATTTCAAATGATTTTGGATATTGACTAAAGTTTAAAAAATAAAGCATTATACTGGTCAAAATTTCATATTCGTTAAGCAAATCATAACTTCAAAATACATGTTAATGTAAACAAGAGACATCTTTAGTTTCAAAGAACACTTAACAAATATGTCTACAAGTACTTTATCCTGCAGTACCATCAAAACCAGCCTTCTAAACATCAAAACCAGCATCTAAACGTCAGTTTTGTTAATTCCTCAGCATTGTGATTTGCACAGTAGTTTGTATACCACATAGTTTTTTAAGAGTGTGTTTTAGAATATCTTTTAGCGGTGTTTGTACTGAATAGCCATCTATTTAAATGTTTTTAGGATAGCATTTAGCTTTTGAAGAACTTATACCATTATATAAAGGATATATGTGACAACCAATTTTTTCAGCACCATTTCTTAAAATTGGTATGTTGATTTTGATATATCACTATTAATAACTAGTGTTAAAGCTTTACCAGGTGAATATATTTATGCAGGTTTAATGGGGGTTTTATTTCAAATTTTAAAAATTTTTGTGCCAGTTTTGTACTTAAATTCACTTTTTAATTTTAATTTTGTTGCATGAAATAGTTTATGGCTAAATAAAAAATTACTAACGTTGTTAAGTTTGTTCTTTTTGTTCTGATACAAGCTTTTAAAAAGAGCAACATGGTTTCCCAACTTCATTAACTAAATAAAATGATATAGCATTTAATGTACCGCAGGTGTATTGAAAATCTTGAGCTAGCCAATTTTCATTACTTCTCTCAAAATGAGTATTGCCATTGTTTGCAGCTACCAACTTTTTACATTATATTTTTATAAAGTTTTTCACTCAGAATCCTCCAGTTTAATATCTGCAGAAACTAGAACAGTTAATTTCGATAAAAGGAGTGGTATGTCATTAGGAACTAGTATATTTTGTCGTATAAGTCCGTAAATGTGATAAATTACTACTAAAAAAAATTGTTCGGTAAACAGTGCAATTTGTATTGAATTAAATAACCAACAAAATAATATGTACTTTTGTTTATGAAAAATAAAAGTTGATTTCAAGCAAACAATATAAGTTACAAGTCATTATTTTAAAACGTTAAAGAAACACAAAAGGGGAAGGTAGGGGCAATGTATATAGTTTAAATAGGTTGTATACATATTGTATTTACTAGTTCAAGTATTTAATATATATTCTCCTAGGTTACCTAAATTATGTGACACCTTTTGTAAAAAATAAAAGTATTAAATGTTAAAAATTTACCTCGTCATTTTAAAGCCAGATTATAAGTGCATTAAAAAGGCTGATCTTTACTTTATTTTTTTCGTAAAGCTTTACTGCTAAATAGGTTAAATATATAAACTAATCCTGTAAGCTCGTAAAATTTTAAAAGTTTTTTTCATGTATTATACAAAAAAATTTTTTTTTTTGTATAATACATGAAACCGCAACTGATTTTTGTGGTTTTAAAAGATACTATTATACTTATAACAATTTTGAAAACTTAAAATGAGAGTATTACAAATATGTTTTATTATTTGGTTTTGAATATAATAAATATTTATTTTTTAGCTTTTGTCCACCACCTTATTAGAAATTATTGGGGGTATATATAGAGTTGTTTCAAAGCATGACAAATCGACTTTTGTTTGTTTACTCAAAGTCCAATTTAAGTTAATAAGCTGCAAAATGACATTCTTTCAAAAATTTATGAGCTAGTGAGATAAATTTTTTTTAAAACTTGGGTATTTCAGTGAAAAATTTTATTTTCCAGAATGTAATATTTTTGTAACATAGTCAACTTGGCTCAGCTACAAATTTTGAATAAATTTTTGAAGCGTTGCGTTTCGACTACTTTTAACCTCCATATCTTGTTTGAATTATTTTCTCTTTTGCATTAAACATGAAATAAAAAAGAAATGCATTTCATTTTTATTTCTTTTTTATTTGGTAATAAAATACTCATTACATAACCCCAGTCTTTTTAGGCTAGCAAATAAGCAAGACCGGCGCTATGGGGGAGGGGGAGGGGTGTTAGGGTATGTGACACCTCCCATCAATGTTTTTTTTGTTCATTTAGTTGGTAAATTTGACCCTTTTTGACTAGTTAGTTGGCAAATGTAGACCCTTTCGACAAGTTAGTCGATAAATTTAGTCAGTCAGTCGGCAAATGTCGTTATAGCAGTCGGAGGACAGCCGGCAAGTTTTAAAAAACAATGACTTTTTTTTCAGTCAACAAAAGTTATAATGACACACCCCCACGTGACACCTACTCGCGCCGGCCCTGCAAATAAGTACTCTAGTTAGTAAATATTATTTGTTACATAAATACATATGTATGTAACAAATAATAAGAAAAAAAAAATGAGCTAACTGTAGCTTCACTTTGTAATTACTGCGGCCTAAACCCGCTCCTGGGTAGTACTCATTTACTAACTAGAGCACTTATTTGCTAGTCTAAAATGACTGGGGTTATGTAATGAGTACTTTTATCACGAGGAAATAAATACTTTGGGAGTACTTAATAACGAGAAGTCACTTTTGGCGGCAACACCGAAAATATTTTATGTTTGTTATCACAAAAAATTAGGGAGGCAGAAAATGACAAATAATTTAAAAAATTATTTAACTCCTTTCAGTTTAACCCAATGATCTCAAAGTACTATAATATTCACAGTTTCAAGGTAATTTGCCTGCTAAGACGTAACATCCATTTATTGTTATCGCCTTTGTTATGAATGTTTTCGCAATAGTCCGAAAATGGATGAACATGTTCAGTTATCAGATGTAGAAATTGTTGCATTAAATAAATTTCCTCAAGCTTCTTTCAAAAGTTTTGTTCTATATATATTTGAACTTTTTATAAATGCAAAGGATTCAGAAAAAATATTATGTGATTTTGAAAATTTTTGCAGCGATATTGGGGCAAATTTTGGGGCAACAAAAAGCTTGGTCACTTCTTTTTTATCCTTTCTTCGGGACGCAACAAAACGATGCTTGTCTTATGATATAATTTTTGACCGTCTTCGAAAATGCGGTAAGTTATAAAACATTTAAAATATAATTTATAGTAAAAAAGTAAAGGTTGACATTTCTAAGTTGCGTAAAAGCAAAAACATGAAACTGTAAATTAAATAATAAGGTTAGAGTTCTAAAAACGTAAGCAGGAAAACAAAAAACTAGATGGATACAAGTTTTTTGAGATCGATGGAGCTGTCAAAAGGATGCAACTTTGCTGAATGATGAGAAATGCAAGATTGAATTTCGGTAGTTCACTTAAGAAGAAATTTTAAATGGTAATATTTCAACTCTAACATAATGTTGTTTTTAAGTATTTAAATAACAAAATAACATTATGCAAAGTACAAAATCATGGATTCGAAATATTAAAAAGAAAAAAAAAAGTTTACATTATCTAGGTATTTAGTTTAACACAAATTTGCAGATGCAGCATTTTTTGATGAAATCTATATTTATTGATAAATTTTAAAATTCATGCAATAATCTCTTAGCATTCAAAAGATTGATATTATAAAGTTTGAACCACCCATAAATTGAGGGCATTATAAATTTTATAAGGCCATAAATGTTGAGCACTAAGAGATTATTTTTTGAAATTAAAAGTTTATTGATAAATTTAAATTTAGTTGAGAATAGTAAGAAAAAATGTTTTTTTATATTTGCAAGTCATCCTCAATATAAATATAAACATATAAATGTTTTTAATTTGCTCCATATCTAAAAGTTCAAAAATTCCTTTCTTTTTTTATATTACCCTCCCTTTTTTATTTAATATTTACTGTTTTAGATTTACTTTTTTCAAGTATTTTTTTATTTTTCCAAGTAAATCTTTGGTTGCTTTTCAACAATTATAACCATTGCAAGTTTTTGGGAATAAATTAACAAAATATTTTGTTTAGGTTTATCCGAAGAAAAATCAACAACAGTTTGTGAAGTGTGGAAAGAGAAGTTTACTTTGCTTTTTCAAGCTGTAGACAAAATATTTGCAACTAATCAACTTGTGGATATGGAGTGGAAATTTGGTGTAACAGCAGCAACATCAGAAAACAATTTAACAGGTCAATCATTCTTGCAATTAAAACTTGTCTTAGACAAAGGGAACAAACAAACAGAAAGTCTCAACATGGAGTTGACATTGCCACAGTTTTATACATTTTTGCATGAAATGGAGAAAGCTCGTTCAAGTTTTGAATTGATTTAGTTTTTATTATTTTCATACAAATATTATAAGCAAGTTGTATGTATGACCTTGAGTTGCATTTAATTAGTTTTATTTTCTATTATTTTATGTTATTCTTATTTCAGAAAGTTACCAAATCTTATAAAGCTATAAACTTATTAACTTGAACCAAGAGCAAGAATAAATACCTATGTTAAAAATGATTTAAATATATGTTATAAAATGAATACGATAAAAAAATTTTATCTATTTTTTTTTTATATTTTTAGTTTTTTGAATATATTGCAAATAATTTTCTTCTGTTTACCACTATGAATAGTAGTCAAAATAATTGTATATTTATTTTTTACTCATTTTTTATGTTTTTTTATTTTTTGTTGTTAAGAATATTACTGTTTTAAGTATCATAAAATTATGGTCAACAGATAGATGTCATGTATAGAAATAAAAAAATAACAAATAAATAATGAATAGTGCAATATATATACACTATTTAAAAAAAGAATTTATATGTATATTGTATTCATATTCTATATATTCTGAAGAAAAAGATCTTTTCTACTTTTTGGCGAAATGTGATTTCCAGAATTTTTTACTATTAAATTTTTATTTTGATAAATTTGTTTACAGCCATGATTGTAGCTGACTTATTTGATTCAAAATTTAAGGAAAAATAAAAATTAAATTTTTGCTTCTTGTTTTGCTGAATATTTTTTTTGTTTTGATAATATAACTATTAAAACAACAGTTATGTTTAGTTACACAGTGCAGCTATAAAAAAACTTTTTCAATAGTTGCACCTAATTCCTGCGTTATTTTTGGTGTGCTGATTCAGAGGATAGTGACTAAAAAGTATTGTTCAAATGTTGTTAGGTTTGCAAAAAATTCTTCAGGATTTGTCGAAAGGATGACAATAAAATTATCATTAGTTCTTCTTAAAGTATGCTATGTTATTCTCAACACAGCGTACTTTAAATAAATAAAATTCCTACTTTATGAAAATGGTATGATTTTTTAAGTTTGCAGTTCTGTTATATTGAGGGAGCCAAATAATCATTTAAAAAATTTCTATTTTTAGGACATTGATGTTTCTGATTTTACTACAAAAAAAAGAAACTGTCTTTACTTACCTTACTTTGAGTAATTGCTTAGTAAAATGAAAACTGAAACTTTCTGTGCCTAACCAACTCAGTCTATTGATGACTTTTTACAGTCAATTTTAAGTTTAGAAAAGTTCAATTTAGTAATAACTCCTCTAGACAATTCAGAACCTCACGTGTTTAAAAAACTCTTAATGTTTTCAGATTCAATAGCAGGCATCTCGAAAAGTTTCAAGGTACCAGCTTCAGGATGTAAGAATGTATAAATAACAAACACACAAACTTACAAACTTAGTTATTTTGTTTAATCTATTTAAATTAAAATTATTTAAATAAGTTGTATAAATTCAATTAGTTGTTAATTGTATCTTGAGATAGTATGTAGTTTCATTCACCAAGTTGCATTCTGTGCTCTCAAAAACCAGTTTTTAATTTTCCTAGCTAAAAACCAACATTTTTATAATAAATAGTTTTCAGTGTTGTCATTGCAAAATAAAAAAAGTACTATAAATTAAATATTAAAACAATAAATTTTTTAGTTTAGTTTTTGTGTGTTTTAATTTTGTTACTATTTTAGTTCGTAATAGTAAAAAAGATTTTACATTTAAACTTTTATTATCTTCAAAATTAATTAACAGGGTGAGGGTCATAATTAGTTGCAGATGGTTTAAAAAACAATTTGATTATACATTATTATTTTTCATATGGTTTCAAATAAAAATGATTTTGCTATATATAAACTTCTTTTACCGAAACAATTTGTTATAATAAAGCATAAAAGGATTTTCAAAACCGCCTCAAGATTTGGAATGCAATTTCTAAACTTTTTTCTTTTATCAGCTTATAAATAAGTGAGTCATAGCTGTGTCTTGATATTTAGTTTTGATAAAGTTACGAAATTGCAAAATTTCATCAAACAAATACAAATTGATATCTTTATGATATTGTTACAGTGTAATATGTTATTTGGAAGAAATATGTTTTATTGAGATTATGATTAAATTTTAAATTAGTTTTAAAACAAATTTTGAATATTGTTCAAATGATAATATAGTAGATAAAAGTTATAGTATTGGCTAATAAATAACATTGTAATTAAATTATAACAAAAATAATGCTTATATTTAAAAATGAAACCTCGATTCAGAGCCGAATGTAGATTTACATAGACATTTTTATAGACAGTTTTTATTATAACTGTTTTACTGCTACATGTACCAATTTTGATTCTATAGTTTTTTTCAATTTTTCAAAAATATTGATTTGCTATTTGAAACAAATTTTTGGTTTTTTCAGGTTTGTGAATAGTATTTTTGTTTTATGTTTTATACTACATTGTAGATATATTTTATTATTAAAGCTCGCATTTTTGTTAAATTACCACATTTTTATAAAAAATTATTAGGCTTGTTATTTTTATCTAAACTACGTTTTATACAATTTTGTTATAATTGCTACAGCTTAGCTCAAGAATAACATAAATTTTGCATAAATTACGTTTATGTTTGATAAGGATATTTAACTCTTAACTCTCAAGGTATTAAATATCCTAAGATAAGAATATTAAAAATCTTAGGATAATGATATTAATAGTCTTTAGACTTAAAGGTCATTAAAAATTGTAGTAGTTTTTATTTTGATTTTTACCTCTCTATCAGAACTTTTGTAATTAAGAGCTTTTTAGTATACAGTTGTTTTAAATATAAAAAGAAAATGTTTAAAATAAATTTGTTCTGTTTTGTTTAGTGAACTGAAACAAACTCTTCTTGAAATGTATAAAAATAATCTAAATGCAGTTTATCAAGTATAATTTGCTCTTTTCATTAGTTCATTTCATTACACACACACACACACACACACACACACACACACACACACACACACACACACACACACACACACACACATGTATTATGTATATATATGTATAAATTGTTATATAATTGTTATATATATATATATATATATATATATATATATATATATATATATATATATATATATATATATATATATATTAGCTAATATATATATATATATATATATATATATATATATATATATATATATATATATTATATATATATATATATATATATATATATATATATATATATATATATATATATATATATATATATATATATTAGCAATGTATTGGAGGTGTAATGGAAATTTTAAATTTACTTTATTGAAATTGAATTATTATATAGCTAAATGCTATATAATAATTATATATAAAAAATAAATAAATTATATATAAAAAATGTTACTTAATGGAGCTTCAACTCCTGCTTAAATAGGTTGGGTTGGTTTCGACTAATTTTTTTAAGTTCTGGTAATTCATATTTATAACAGTGCTTTGTGCTTCTATTAAACTTGATAGTTTTTATTCAAGACAACTTTGTTAAATTAGTAGATTTATTAAACTCTGTTACATTTCTAATATATATGTACACACACGTACACACACAGACATACCTTTGTGTACATAGCATAAAATATTATTGATGTCATGCTCATTTAGTGAGTTATGGGGCTTCAATACATTAATCGACAGAGGGTTTGAGTAGATATCTAAATATTAAAGGATTTAAATTAGGCTCAAAAAAAACTTTATACTTTTTTTATTGTTCTTTATATTTTATTTTTTATTTTTTCTAAAATACCGTTCTCATATAAGTCAGCATCTTTAAACTTTGAATTTGGAAAACATATAAAAGCATTGTTAATTTAATTTATTAATATATAAAATTTTGATTTGCATGTCTTTAAGATTTTTTATTTATCTTGTCCTATAGATGACTGTAATATTACTTTATCATAAAGTCATTATTTATTTAGCATATAGATGAATGCATTATTACAGATTCTTATGCTAAAGAAAGTCCCGTAAACAATTTTTGGTTTGGATGCAGTTGTGAAGGAAATTGTTTGGATCAAAATGATTGTTTTTGCTTTGATCAACATCTTGTAGCATATAACAATGATGGAACAATAAAAAATTTGCAGAGTAAGTAATTAACTCATTTTTTACTGTTTTTTGTATATTTATAGATTGAAATGCAATCTGAGTACTGTGTAGTTTAGTGACTTATTAGTGAAAGTAGTATATATAGTTTGGTTTTTTATCAAAATTATATTTTCATATATTTTCATATATTTTATATATATTTTAAATAATATATTTTTAAATTATTATTATTTTGAAAAAAGATGAATTTTTTATGTCAATAGTATTAAAGGTAGTTAACACGCACTCTAACTAGATCTAACTAAGTATCACTCTAAGTAGATAGATCTAACACGATTTTTTTTTATTGAAGTTGAAATGTTATTGAAAAGCTAGCTTCTATGTTAACCTCATACTTTTATCAAAAAAAGAAAGGCTTTATGCATATTATAACTACATTTAAATATAATTGCATTTTCTTGCAAGACAAAAAAATAAAAGAGTAAGTTATGTATATAACAGTATTATGATGTATATAATGATCTTCAGCTATTTTCGTAAGATTAAGTTATTGTAATAACTTTTCATTAGTTGAATTTTAAATCTAGAAAAATCAATCAAACTTACATGCTCTGTGTGAGACCATGAATGTTTAAAACAGTTAGGTGGTGGCGATGTTTATTTTATGTTTAATATTTTTGGGTAATTTAGTCATGTTTAATTAACGAGAACTTAACTCAATCATAAATAAAAGCCTTGAGCTATTGTTGTGTTCATAATATATCTTTTAAAAGTCTGGCACCAATTGATAAGATCAAGTTGTGATAAAATAAAACATGTTCCCAATAAAACAAATCAAATATAACTGTTGTTAAAATGTCAAGCTAGTTTATAGATCTTCATAATCGAGTGGCTTTTTACTCTTTATTATTTATTCACAAATTGATACTTATTTATTTGTTTTTCATTTATCTCATCTTGTATATTTTCTGCTTCTGCCATATTCTTTTTGATAGGAAGATTGTTCCTGTGCATTATCTCCGCATTATCTTGAGTTTTGCATGCATAGCGCAAATTTTCTTAGATGAATTTAATTTCAGTTGAAATTATGTTCATTGGGAGTTAATTTGACTTCATATGATATGCACACAGTTCATTATTTTATCTGTAAGACTCTATTTGCAAGTTATTTTGTTTTGTATTGCCACTTTTTACTTTGCCTTTAGAAGGATAGTACAATAGTATAAATATTTTTATCATGGTTGTTTTTAGATTAAACTCTCTAGATTTTTTACATGGATCCTCAATTTGATTTTGAAACTCAGATAAATTATCCCTCAGTTATTGTCAATGTAGAAGTTTTGCTAAAGATATTCTACATTCAATCGGAGTATTATGTAATATTAGGATACCTTTGAAAATTTCCTCATTTGACATATAACACTTTTTCATCATAAGTTTTACTAATTTCACAGTGGTTTCTGCTTCAAACATTTGACTGTGGGTAGTGATTTATTGCATGCTTGTATTACTTTTACTGAATTGGTATTTGAAAGCAGAAAAACTTTAATAATAATCAATAATAATTAAATTGTCACTTGTAGATAAAAATATGTTTATGAGACATTGCATTTTGGTATTGACATATCATTACTGCAGTAAATAAAAACCTTAATAAATTTATTTCTAATTGTTGAATTCTTGGTGTCATATTAATAAGTGAATGATTATTTAATATAGGAATTAAAGGTTTTTGATCTGTTTCCAATACAAAACTTAGCGACCTTTGGTGTTACAACAAACATTTCCATTTCAATTAGATAATATTTTTTTGTATTGTTGATAAAAATCTGGATGCACAATTAATTGGTTTATATACTTATTGTGGTTCTGGTAAACAGCAACACTAAGTCAATTTAAGAAACTTCCATCTGTAGCCAAAATTGGTGGCTTTCTTAAACTATTATTTACCTCATTGAAGCTTTAGTATGATTTCCAGTCCATATTTAAAGATCATGCAAAAATTATTTGAGAGTAATAGATTAAAATTTAATAACTTAGCCATACCTAGAAAACTGCGCAAATACGTAATATTTGTTGGTCTGGGAAACATTTGTATTGCTTCAAATTTTTTGCTCAGAGATTTTACTCCCTCTGCTGAAATTTTATGTCCTAAAAAATTCCACTTCACTTTGATTGAACACATACTTTTCTAAATCAAGGGTATCTCCATGTTCTGCTTTTTTTACTTAGCAATGCGAATAGTTTTACAAAATAATTTTTTAATTTTGTTTTAGCTGATCAGTATATTTATAAGTAATATCTGATTTTATTTTTAAGTAAACTGAACTACTTCAGAAGTGATTCATAATATTACTGTTTCTACATTTTTTACCCCATGCTGGACATGATCCTCAACTAAAGGGATGTTTTTTTAAACAGAATTTATGTGCTAATAAATTTTATTTCAAATCTCTTTTGTTGCCAGTGTTCTGTGTCTGTGAATTAAATTTTGTTTTACTGTATAATTGCTGTCCAATCTATTCAACACTTTCACTTTCATTATTTTTTTTTATTTGAGATACCATATTGTGCTTTTTTTTTGAAGAACAAGAAATTTTTAAAAAACTGCTTTATAACTTTTCAGAAAGTAATTTCTCTCATAATTTGCGGTAGTGGTGTAGTGGTCGAGCGCTTGCCTCATAAGAGAGTTGCAAGTTCAATCCTCACTACGTTCCTGGTAGTACCATGCTCAACTTGTTTTTCCACACAGCATCCTTGTTTATTGAGGTTTGTGTTTTGGAGTTGTAGAGTTGAGAGAGGGTTGTAACCACAAAAGTAGCCTCCTTGACTGCAATGGCCTTCTCTACTATGGTAAAATGAATAATTTAAAAAAATGAATAATTAAAAAAAAAAAAAAATTGTTATATCCTATCCCAGACAATTTTCCTCTTAATAAATTGCCAAGACAATCTGCTGTTTTATAAATTTTGCTGTTTTTACTTGATAGTTTTATTTATGTCAAGAATATATCAAAACATTCAAAATGAGCGAAATGCAGCATATCTATCACTAAATCAAACATTGAAGGTGAAACACCACCTTTACCTTATTTCTGACATTTTTTATACAAGATTAAACAAGATAATCAATAAATATTGAAAAACTTTTTTTACAATTTTATTTATATACTCTCATAGCACCATTGTGTTCATAATATATCTTCTCAAAAAATCAGGAACCGATCTCTAAGATGATTACGACAACAGGCTTTGTTTTAAAGCATTAATTGGTGTGCCATGTATGTACATGCAAAGCCATTTCAGGAAAGCCATTTTTTAATATTTAAACAAGTCTAAAGAAATCATTTAGGCGGTAAAATAAGATAAAAGAAGTAGTAAATGTTGTAAAAACCACTTATGAAGTTTGAATGATGGTTATGTAAAAAAGTTTGCATGACAATTACATTTGATATTCCCACTATTTACAATATTAAAAAAAAAATAAAGGAAATTTTGTTTTTATAAACCTTACTTTTCCATCAAAAAACATTTAGTAAAAGTATAAAAAAAATTTATTTTGAAAGAAAGGAAAAAAAAGATGTTATAGGCACATTTTTTATATTTTTACTAAATATTTTTTGATGGAAAAGTAAGGTTTATAAAAATAAAATTTCCTTTATTTATTTTTTAATATGGTATATAGTGGGAATATCAAATGTAATTATCATGCAAACTTTTTTACATAACCATCATTCAAACTTCATAAGTGGTTTTTACAACATTAACTACTTCTTTTATCTTATTTCGTCCTAACTTGACCAGTTGAACTGTTACACCAGAAAGAGCTTTTCCTTATTTAGGATTAGGCAAGGCTAAAATACTTTTTTCTAATGTTAATTTACATGCAGTTCGAGCTACATAGTTTGTTGCATGCAATGTTTCAGAAACTTTTTGTATTGACCAATCAGTTGGAGCAAGTGTTGTCAGTTGAATTTTTTTAGGTGTTACTGCAATTTTATTAGGTTAGTTTTAGTAGTTATTTTATTGCAACACCATCATGTTATCAAACAAGTTAGCTTCTTTTTACAAAAAGTAAAATCCAAAATTTCCTTATAGTTAAGAAAGAATTTTGATTAAAAAAGTTATTTAAATTAGAAAAAACTTTTTTCTGTTTTTCTTTCTTCTATTATTATTTTTTACAAAAAATTAAATTCCTTGTAAACATGTTATAGCTTATAACACTGCATCAAAAATATTCATAAAGCGTACGTTTAACTTTGTCTTAAGCAGGGCCGCCGAGAGCTTTCATGATGCACGGGGCATAGCAGCAATTAGGCGCCCCTATTATTATGTATATTTTTAAAAAGAATTTAGATTTAATGCATGTACAGTTATAAAATCTAATGACAATGTTTTTATTTATAATACTGTTATTTTACATCTATACTTTTATGAAATGCATCTTGATTAAAAAATACTTATGCAACACATTTAACATTCACTGTTAAAGATAAATAGACAGGTTCTTCGAAATTAATATTGAAAATACATCTTTTGAACGTTCTGAATATCTTGAACGTTTAAAGACATCTTTTTTACTTCTCGTACCCACTGGGAGTGACCCTACTATCTTTTTTTTAATCAATTTTAGTCTACGTTAAGATCGTTGACCCTCTGTGACACATAATGCCATCATGTTAAAAAATCAAATTAGTATGCATAATATAGATATATATAGAAATTCTTTGAAATAAGTATGCATATAGATTGGAAAATAGACTATATACCTTTGAGAATTAGGTTGAGAAAGCTTAAAGTATTTCTAGAATTATAAAAAGGATGAATCATTCAAACTACCAGGATAAAAATATCTTTAATACAGTTTTTACCAAACAAACTTTTTCACATTGCAAAAATCCTGGACAACTTCCGGGATTGAATAGAAAAGAGCGCAATTGTCAAAAGAGAACCATATGAAAAACTAACATTTTAAGTACTCATCAAACGCTTAAAAATAATGTATTTATTGATAATATAAATAATATACTTTATTGATTAGTGA